CACTGCAACGACTGCAGTATGACCAGATAACACACATGCATTCAATGGAGATCATACTGCAGGAAAAGGTAATGCACTGTACAACCTTCTGAGTATTCTTTACATATTTGTTGTGGCCCGGATGGAAAAGCTAATTCATGATAATTAGGGTGTAAATTTCCAAGCACTGCAGCTTAGCTGCCCTAGTTCCCACTAAGGCCACTTTGCCTTGCTAGGAGAAAGTAATCTTGCTTTGAAAGTATATTAAGCTGGTTTTCCTTTAAACTGAAGTGTCTCCAGCAAGGATAGTGTGAATTAGTGACATGTAAATTCTCACACAAATTATATCCCAAATGTAAAAAAAGTCACTAGGAAAATAAATTAAGATGACCTATATCCAAAAACAGTGTTACTGAGCTCATTTCCACCTTGAAGAGGAGGGACTAGTGTATCCCAAGGAAGGAGGTAGAATTACTCCAAATGAGCTTAAGTAGCTGAGTAAGCAGTTTGATCTCCCTACCAACTAACTACTCACCTGAGCAACCAAGATAGCTGAATGTAGCAAGGTGTGCCCAGACTGCAGTGAGACTGACACAGCAGCTGAGAGAAGTTGTCCTCTGATGGTTGTTTACCAGACTGTCTGAAATGAGCAAATTCAATTCTTATCAGAAAAGTGTCTGCCTTGCAAAACTGAGAAGAATGAGATTCCCCTGCTAATCATCTTGGTGCAAGCGAAGAGGAACAAAAACTTAATTACCCTTCTGCTCCAACAAATGGTACCTCCACACTAAAATCTAGAAACTGCACTGGGGAGTGTCTATGCCTTTACCCATTCCAAAATTATCCTACGTGGATTATTTCATCCTGCAGGGCTGCCAGGCCTGAATTTAACCCAAACACATTACGCTGTTTGCAATTCTTTGATTGTATTTATCAGCATCCTTTGTTATCGGTTCTAGGGCTTCGGTTAAGTAAATAAAAACATGCTTTTAACTACAAAACTGCATGAAATCTTCCATTTTCCCCTACTATGCAGCCAGGGTCTTCTTTAAAAAGATAACTTTGAGTTTAGAAACTCCAGACGTAGGAACATTGATTTAACGGTGCTGCAAGGCAAAGATATATGCAGCCTGGTTGAATTCCTAGGTGAGGCGTGAAACCAATATATTCATATTTTAAAAGTGGGGGGAGTCTCCAGATAAACCAATTGCCTGACAGCATTCTGGTCCAAGGCTTCACAGCCCATAGTCGTATAAACTCATTTTATATAGTCTCTTTTATTAACTTAATTAGTGTCTTCTGTCTCTGAACATCCCATGTGAATTCCAAACCCTGCAATTTTGGGCCTCAAATCTGAGGCATCTGAATGTACTGTCATGTTATATTGTGAAAGTAGATCACCACTGTCTCAGTTTAATTGAGACAAGGGTCTTTTGCTGAGGATGGATTAGGAGAAAAAGACCCAAACCTTCTTCTCTAGCAATTATAGATTCGAAATTAAGAGGCTCCGATTGAAGGAAAGCAAATTATGGAAAAGGGAAAAAGGAAAAGATAACAGCCCTTTATTAAGTATGTGTGTATTAACGTAACACGAGGGAAAAAAAGAAGGGAAAAAAAAAAAACCAAGTAAAACAACTAAACAATACCCCTATACCCACCAATAATCCCCTTTAAGAACAAAACCGATAAAACTGGCAAAAAAGAAAATCAAATAGTTCAATTTTTAGCACTCTTTGGTGCAGTTCCAGCCACAGTCAGCAGGGGGCGCCGTCGCGTCACTGGAGATGTAAAAACTTGCAATGTCTTATACCGTTCACCAGGTGGCGCTGTTGAGTTATCAAAAGTGCAGAACTTGTAATGTTCTATAGTAGTCACCAGGTGGCGCTGTTGGATCACTAGAGGAGTGGAACTTGCAATGTCCAGCGCTCGTCACCGGGCGGCGCTGTGGGATCCCTGGTCTCCGCCGGGTGGCAAGGGAGGAGGGGGGAGGGGGAAGGGAAACAGAAAGTTCTCCCAATGGAAGAAAAAAAAAACTCACGACTCGGTGGAGGTCCCGCGGTGGAAAAGAACCAAGACTGCAACCAGCCCGTAACTCTGCAGAGAGCTCCCACAGGGAAAAAAAGAAACAAAGGAGAAACCAGGCAGTCTCTCCTCCCGGCTGCAGCCTCCCCTCCTGCTCCCGAGCTGAGCTCCCAACAACTCGCCTTCTTCCCAACTCCTCCCCCGTCGTTCCAGGAGACTAATTCTCGGTCGTTAGGAGCCAGGCCGACTCTTTTGTTCACTTGATGGTTCTTGAATAGCATTCATGCAGGGGGGAGGGGGAAGAAGGGGAAAGGAAAGGCAAAATTCCTTTCTAAAATCAGAACTATGACAACCACACAACTTCATATCCGAATATCTGTCAAATTCACAGGTGCTAACAGCAGACATTCATCCTTCTGTCTGCACAACTTCTTAAATGAGATTCTGCTTCAATACACAAGTTTTATGGTGTTGATAGGTATCGTGAAAATGTGCTTTTTCACAATAATAACTAATATTTTACTATCTTTGACACCAAGAAAAATGTTTATTAAATGCTATGGAACACTGAGAGACAGTCTGAGATATGCATGAAATGTCCCTGCAGGAAAGCCAGTTTATTTAAGGAGACTGGCACGTATTTCCATTCTGCTATATATTTTAAAAGTTGCTGTTAATCTCAGACTGACTAGATATTTGAGAAATCCTGAAAGACAGAAGACAGGCAAAGATAAAAGCCATCTTAAGAAAAGGGAATAGCTCTGGAAAGATCAACATTTTTTTTTCATGTTTAATTATTTATTCCATTATTTTTCTGTTGATTTAAAATAAATAACAAGAAGAGAGCAAGAAAGAAATACCAAGGACCAATGATTAATCTAGGTAAAACTGTATGAAATGAAACAAAATTCTTTCCATAACAAAGTAACAGGTTTTGGGAAAAGGAATGAGCAATAAAGTCGTATATCCTAACTCTGTGATCTGTTTCACAGTGCTGTCTGATTTCTCCACTCTTAATATTTTGTATTTAATTATTTCTACCTAAATGAAGTAGCTCTTACTTTTCTTTTTTGAGTAGCACATACTTTTCTTACTGATTTCTTAACTTGACATGATGATTCTCAGTTTACATCCTACCCTTTCACAGGCAGTGAAGAGACCCTCTGCAGCTGATGGCTGAATGCTATTTAATAATCCTCTCTGCTGTTACTGAAAATATTAATGGGAGTTTTGACTAGTGCTAGACCTAAGGTAGAATCCTATGTGCAAAATCCTTTCATTTTGACAGTGAATCATGAATAGCAAAAAATAATACCAAAACCAGATGCATTTTTCCAGCATGATGCAGCAGTACTCAGAAAAACAGTTGCATGTTTTATCACAAATGGAACAAATGGAATAGTATCAATCTGGAATGAAAGCAGAAAATATTGTACTGGGATATATAAGACAGAAGGCAGCACTGAAGATGTGAAATAGTGACATTTTGGAACGTTACACTTGTGAAAACTGCGTTCACATGTTTGAGATAATTCAGGAGATATTAGAGATATCAGCCTAGGAGATAAGGCAGAAAGAATTGAGCTCATTCCACCTAAAGAAAACTCTGAAGACACACTGAAAACAGTCTATGTTTTACAGATATGTAAAGTGATAGTGAGTGTAGAAATATATACTATAATATTCTTTGCCCACTACAGATAGGGTAAAATGCAATGGCCTTTAAATATAAGAAGTGATTTAAAATAGGAATTAGAAAGATTTTTCAGTTGATAAAGCCATGAAATTGAGATTATGCTGCTAAACTTGCATGTTCCCAATGTGACATTAATAGTCATGTAGGAATGCTTCCATAACCTCCCTTTGAAAATGTCATGCACCCTGCATCCGAGGTCTAAGACTGGATGTTAAGGTAGATTTTGGTTACAAATTACAAACCAGAGACTCATTACCTTACCTAACACATTCTAAGTCACAGCACAAATAGAAAGGTTTAGGTTGGAAGAGTCTTTTAAAGATCACCTGCTCCAACCCCCTTGACATGGGCAGGGACATCTTCCAATCCATCAGGTTGCTCAAAGTCCCATTCAACCTGACCCTGAACACTTCCAGGGATGTCCAAGGTGACAAGGTCTAAGAGCTATGGAGACAGAAGAAACGCAGATGATTACCTGCAGATGATTAAGGAACAATCCAGATCTGTTATTTAGTGTCCTACAGAATTTTTGACTGGTGACTGTAAAATATGGTTTTGAAATCATTATTTTAACCTGCTATTGTGAGTAGGACAAATGAAGCCAAAAGTTCAAGGTTGTAAACTTTCTATGAAGAAATCAATGGTAATGTAGAGTCTATTTACACTAGATATTTACGCAATCCCCATTATGGTGGTATCAGGACTCTTTCCAATATTTAATGTACTTCTCTTCACAATAAGGCTGTAAGGTCAGTGAATCTGTGAAACTGCACAAAAATACAAGATCTGTGAACCCCCAGAAAAAATGCTCAATAAACTAATCATGAAGAGTAATCCCATAATGAGATATCTCCTTGGGGGAAACCACACTTGATTTCTCCTCCCGCTTTTAACATTTCAAATCTGACAATGTCACTAAATCCAGATATACTGGACAGACTCTACATGCACAGGTCAGCTGGGCATGTGCCACCAGTTCGGCACAGACCAAGGCAGGTGCTGTTAGACACTTGCCAAGCTGTTATCATGCACATTAATGTGCAGCTACTCTCATCAAGTATTGGTCACCCAACAAAAGATGTTCTTTTCCCGCTGTCTGAAACAATGGCAATTGCCTGTAAGAACATGCTGTTCTGGCAGGCTTAGCAGGTATGTTGTATATTTATTTTATCCAATGAGTAATTGCATTTAAAATACATAAAGAAGCCTAGAAGCACTACTTACTTAGATGTGCAACTAACAAGCTGAACTTAAAATTCAAATAACTAAATTACTTTGTGAATCTGACACTAAAATGACTTACCAAAAGCCACAGAATGAGCAGTCGTGTCTCAGACCCAGGTTCTCTTCTTAATTGCATGACTATCTATTCTGCTTCGTTCTCTCTCTCTGTGGTCTGATTTTTCAAAGAAGGATTTTAAGTCTGGAAGAATAGAAATCCAAGATCAGGCATGCAGAGCAGGAAAAAAACCTATGTGATGACCATGTCAGCAAGGTTTGAACACATTTTTTCATCTTCCTGGTTCTTGGCTGTAACAGAAATACACTACAAGTAGCTCCTAATTAATAGATTTCTTAAAGTGTCTATCAAACTGCAATGTTACTTTTCTTTGTATGTTATCAAATGGGGATCCAATCCTGAAGCCCTTCTAAAATACAAATAATGCATACGTATTATATATACAAATAATAGGTTTTACTTTTCTGAGTGTACTCACAGATGTTTCATGACTGTGAACCACTGACATTAAGAAGGCTTTTGAATCAGATCCATCCTCACAGATTACATTTAAACCAATGTTCAAAGAGCCATGAGATAATATATTTTGTGTTTGCTTCATTTTTATTTTGCAGAGGATTTTTTCTTAACAATTTGAAAGGAATGAGTTCCAGCTTCTTTGAAAGAACAGAGGCAGACTTAAGCTACATCACTTATTCTAGATTTGAAAACATTTTGCATGGCCATTGGGAAGTTGAGTTCATTAGAAAGTCCAACACTTGTGATTTCAACACCAATATTAGGATACTTTGGAACTGAAAAGCAAAGCTTTCAGTTCTGTAAATACAAATGGCTTCCTGATTTAAGTATTAGAGAGAGCATCTTCCTGGGCTTGAGCTCTAGAGCCCGTAACACTAAGTAGGGAAGGGAGTGGGATGACAACTGGCAGGAGAAAGGTCTGCTACTGGTCCAGTTGTGTACATTTGTGGAAATTCAATCTCCATTTTCACCACTGTAGCTCCTGAGCATCAAGCAGGTATCTTAGAAAACATCAGTGCCGGAACAAAATTCTGGATGTTAAAATGAGAGTATGCATAATAACTTCAGTTTTATGAGCATGGACCTGGATGCTGTAATTTTAACAGAATTATGCAGATTTGGTGCCCCCTGCTGTCTTTTACTACCAGAGTGACCCATGAAAAATATGATTAGGTGCTTAAATACACTAACAGCACAAAACACCCCCAAGGGGCAAATTAAGGATGCAGCTCAAAAAGGCACATTTAAACTAGAATGTGAGTCCACAGACTACCTCGGTGAAGCATCCAGGAGCTAAGAAAAGCAGAGCTTTATGTTGGCAATAATCACAAGTGGGAAAAGCATTGAGTGCACCATCACCAATGGGAACCACAGAGACCTTGGCACTCCTCCATTGCTTGAAAGTAGCACCACAGAAAAGACTCAGCCTCTTGTGGGGATAAAACCACATGAAATCTTTGTGGTCTCTTTTTCCTTGCTCAGCACTGGGTCTGCTACATTCCTGCCTCTCTACCCCATGAAGAGAGTTTAAACAGACTCTCATATGATGATAGCATCCAGAGGTCTCAACAAATATTAGTCCCATTGGTACCCCCAGGTACACACTGTGTGCATCTACATAAGATTTTGTTATCGCCTAAATTGGAAGACACGCTCCAGGAGCATACCCAATACAGCAGGCTCCTGCAGGGGACAAACCCAGAGCTAACCCAAAGCACAACCCCTCCAGTGCACACAGCACAGCTCTTGGGGTGGCAGCACAACCTGCTTCTCTCTAGGGAGCAAACCTTCCTGAGCACACACTGCGTGCTAAAGGAAAGGTACCCACTTAAAATAAGACTCATCTGCTGAATCTCACTGCCACTGAGGGCGGTTCTCTAACCTCTCCATCCCTCTAGCTGCGTGTTCCCAGTCCATCCACTTTGTTAACCCCAACAACCTTCAGGCAGAACAGCGAGCTTGCTTAACTTTCAGACTCAATTCAAAACTAATATCTGCTTCTTTTTTTTTCTTTTTCCCAGGGCTGGTTTTCAGTTGGATCAGTTTATTGTATGGTCATGTGGGTGCCTGGTCTGATGTAAGAAGGGGGAGGAATGTCCCTTTGGCAGCAGTACAGTCTCAGATTGGCTTAAGATAATCATGAAACTTCTATCCTAAATCAAATAAGGGTGTGAGGTGTCAACTGTTGCAATGGCTTGTCCAAACTAACAGAGCACATTTCTAGCACAGCTGGGTTGGAATTCTGCTATAATCAATGGCATCCCTAATTTATTTTAATTTCTCTGTTTGTCTCTCATCCCTTCCTTGTACTCTTCCTGGAATACAGTAAGTGATGATGAAGCAAAGTTACAGTGCCCCATATGAGCCTCTGGGAAGCAACAGACAGAACTTTTCGAGAAAGAATGTCTGTTTAAGTGATTTTCTAATGCAAATCAACAGTAGGTTAACAACTGATAACTTTGCTTACACTCAAAGACATTTCTTTAAAGGGGCCTTTGTTCGGTAGTCACAAGTAACCAATCAGTTAGTTACTTCCTCCCTCCGCTATCTGTGCTTGAAGATGGAAAAAAAACAACCAACCAAACAAAAAATTCCACAGAGAAGAGACAATCCTGTCTTGCTGCGAAAAGGGGCGTTCAGTGCCTATATTCCTAAAAACATGGGTGCTAAAACAGCGCTGTGCTGTACTTCAAGCAGATGTGCAGCAGAGGATGCTTCATCATTTCATATTCTCCTCGTGTTGGAAGGCTTTTAGGACTGACATTGAACCTATGAGTCACTGACACTTCTGGAAAGACTTTCTGGTGAACAAGATGAAATTTCTGTCATTTGTAGTGTTTGAGAAGGTTTTCCAACTTCAAGAGAAAAGAATTTATTCAGTTTCTCTGACACTTGTTTATACATCCAAGTTCTAAATGGCCATTTTCAACTCTTCAACTCCTCTGACTTAGTGAGATGGTATGATCTGTATTACATCTTCTGTAGCGGTATTTAAACAAATATGCTTAATAAAATCTTGCTCACTCCCACCATCCAGAAATCCTATTTTGTATTTCACACATTTTATTTTTATACCTCAGCATTCAAAACACCAGAAGGCAGGAGTCTGGCCTGGTGATTATTAAATTAGTTGCACCCTGATGCAAAATCAACTTGCTTACTTGTTATTTTATACTTGTTATTTTACTCATTGAACTGGCTGCAGGGGCTGTCTAAAAATTCACTTCTATCTCCTCTAAACGTTGTGTAAGTCAGCAGTCTGTCCTCTATTCACCTCTTTTCAGGGTGAAACACACCACACACAGCCATGTCAGGGGTTGTGCAAGAAGAAGATTATGAGGGTGGATCCACTTGTTTTGATCTCCCGACAGAGCACTGTGGCTCACTCTGCTGCCAGGCTCCTGAAGGCACTTTCTTGCTCTTTTCCCACCCCTAAGCTCTCTTCTTGCCCCTTTTCTTGTTTTTCTCCCTGAAATCAATAAATTAATGGTATGCATATCTAGCAGCCACCACTTGCAGACAGCCAGACTTTGATGCTCTTGAGAACAAGGAGCTAATTTTTAACTATTGAAATAAACTTGAGTGCCGGAAGAGCTGGTTTGTCACAGAAGGGAGTGTGCAGAATGATGAGCACGGAGGTTTAAGTCAGACTTATTATCACTAGACTTCAGGGCACTGACTAATCAGTAGGGGTGTAGCTTTATTAAGAAAACTGTATTTTATGATATTTATGTCTGTATCTGAAACATTTGGTTTCCGTGAGACACCAGAGACACTTCATGAGCCACTGGAGTGCTACATCATAGCAATTAATACTAATTACTAGGAGATTCTCTTCCAGGGCATGCCAGGCCCCATGTGTGTGGGAAGGGATAAAATATATCACTACTCATGTCTTTCAAGTATGCTCTTCCCAACACATAAACTAAGGTAAATATCAACATACATGTCAGACTTCTTTCTTCTCTCAGCATACTCTTTTTCCTCTGATTCAAGTCTTGGAACACATTTAATCTAGTACATATCTGGATGTTCTCCTACCTAAAAACATAGATTTGCACATGGTGAATTGTAACTTTCTCCTCAGAGGATAAGCAAACACTCTTAGAATAAAGAATACTAACAGGGAAGCAAAAAACTCCAAACTCAGTTCACAATGTAAACAACAGACCTTGCACTTACTCCACTTGTTAGACATCCTGTCTAGAATAGGATGGCAAATTGCCCAAGGCTTTGTTTATTCTGGCTAGCAAAATATGCTGTAGACAAAGTAGGAGACAAAGTGGTTTCTAACATGATTTGTCCAGTCTTTGAGGAATAAAATCCAACTTTTTAAGGCTAAAAACCAAACCAAACAAACAAGCTAGTGGAATGATTGAAATGAGCTACATGCAATATAAAAAACAAAAAAAAACCAGAGCAGGCATCAGTGATGTAGAGCCAGAATCCAAGTCATTCAAACACAGAATAAACATGGAGAGACACTAAACAAACCCAAATTTCTGTAGCAAATACAGTCTCCTCCTGGAGACTAGACTAGAATTGTGCCAAGTGTATACACGTTAGTATATCAGTAAGCACCACTACATATTCTTAAGTTAGAACAACATTGTATCACATATTCTTGTTCTTATCAGAAGCTGGAAAACAAAAACACTCTTCAGCCTGCAGTTAACAACACCAGGTGACAATCTGTCAGCAACACAATAAACAGTGCGCTTTATCAAGCATTATTTAATTTTCTTTGGGCAGACTTTCCTATCTGTTTCTATCTTTTTGTGTCCTTGCAAAGATCATGGCAGCAGGGTGTGAAATCAGGACTTGTAAATGTTGCAGAATTGTAAATAATGGAATATAAAAACACTGTATTTTTCACGATAAACAAATTTAGCTCCAACGTGGGCAGTTTTGTAAGGTATTTTTATCTTGAATTCAGCATTTAAGGATACTCTTACATGTGAAATGATTTTTTAAAAGTGTGAAAAATTTAATATTGATGTTCTTACAAAGTGATGATGTAACACAGCCTTTCAGCTTGTGTGTGTGTGTGTCAGTCTGTCTGTCTTGGTTCTCTCCTCACCCTGACTTGCCAGCATGTTTCATTGCTCCCTTTCTGGCCACAGTTTCTCTGCATGAAAACTGGATGGGGTAGAGATGAATCAATG